TTCTTATGCAAAATTGTCACACGGCCATGGAGTACCAATAACAACAATGACAAAAGAAAGATACATACAACTATTTCTTAGAATATTTAACCCTTGACGGCGCCTAACATAAAATTCCTGCTGACATTGTCTCATATCCTTTGCAACGAGAATAGCGAAGAATACAAATGAGTACGTATGTATGTCTTAATGTCTACATTTATATGTAATTTGAAAAATTATGAGAACAACAAAAAGATGCAATATTTCTAAACTATTAAGAAGAAATTCCACTATTTGTCATCTATGGATTTTATGACTTTTATGTATGTGTATAAGTAATATGTCTTCTAGAGGGGAAATTGTATGTACATACCCTGATAATAATGACATTTGACATTATTATTTCCAATTGAATGTAGTTTTTTTTTGTCTACGTTGACAAATATTAGTTATAGTCATAAAAATATTGTCTTTTATTTATTCTTTTTTGCTCCAATGAAGCAAATAGAAAAAATAAAGGAAAACAAAAACAATACAGAAAAGAAAATATCCTGAACACACTTCCTTGAAGATTGCCTTCAGTCATTTGCCGCATAATTTAATTTGTCTATTTTTGTAAATATCCATAAAACGCAATTTTCTTAAAGTTTCAAATTTCGTATTGACTTTAAGGCGGTACGATTATAGTAAAACTTCTATTGAGTTAAGTTTGAGAGTTTGGCATTTTGAAAATTGTGTATTCTGATTGTCTTTTTGTATATATATTTGAATATTTATAGATGTTTTTTTAAATACGTCTTCAGTAAATGCTGACTTTTAATTTTAATTTATAAATCCTACTTTAAAAATGATTTTCCCCTGATTGTCCATTCTAAAATGAGAATAAATATTTCATCAAATTATATACAAATAAAACCCAGTGAGCGAAGTAGTATAGTCGGACGGAGCCGACCATATGTTACCTTACACAACATCCACCGAACCCTATGTTTCTTTGACCATAATCAGAACCTCATGCAAAATTTTCTAGCGACACATTTCCGTATACATGCCCTATCGGAGTACATACATCAATATAATTGGAGAAAATATATACACCATAGAATAAAAATTTTATGTACACGTCGCAAACCCATGCAAACACATTAGATTTGTGACAAAAGAGTTATCTAATGTTGGACGTTAGAAAATCCGAGAAGGGGAATTAATGTTTAAAAAGAAATAAAGACTCGAGATAGAAGGAGAATGTGTTTTACAAAAATATAGCTTTTTCGATTTGATCAAAAACTTGACCTATGGCGAATTGGTCATCCTGGGTTCTTTATATAGGCTTTTATCCCCATAATGAGAATTTCACCCAGACAATTTTGTCGCTTTGTGTAATTTGTATTCCAATTTTTATTAATTTAAAGATTTGAGTTTGGAACAATTAAAATCCAATTTTTAATTCTCAAGGTACCCATAATACTGCTACTGAACCTTACAAACTTCAGTATTTTTTATTCGAGAGAAAAGAGGAAATTGTTGTATACCATGCTCTAAGTGCTTGGTTCCTTAAAATGGTCCAAAGTAATATGATTTTCCTATTTCACTCTAGAAAATCTAAAAATTCCCTCAAGTAATTAACTTACAAATCGGAATGTCAATAAAAATTATTAGAAGGAATATTATTCCTTCATTTCGTCCTTGATGCAGGTCTTCATGTCGTTAATATTAAACGTTGATAATATGACCATTCGTCCAGACAACATAACATTTCAACATAATCACGTAACGAATTGAATCTGTATCCCAATACGACCCCATGCCAACTCCATTGACCCATTACTACAACAACGTTCATGTAATCACATATAGATGGAGCCATATGTATGCACAGACAGTCAGATGAGCTCCACAAAACAAATGTACACACAAAAATTCAAAACCTTTTGAAGAAGAAAATAACACTTGAACAAAAGGCGAACAAAAATCTTTAAAGAGATACAACAAAACCCAACAGATACAATGTCTTGTGCCTGTGACTAGTTTGGTGTACAAGAGTGGAGGGTGATGTGTGTGTGTGTAGAGTGAGCATAGTGTATCTGTGTGACTGACGGGCTTCACATATTGTGTAGTTTTTGTGTGGAGCACTCTCACGGGCAGGCGCAAAGAGAATTTTGTAGGCAATATTATTCAACACAATTTTAAATATTTATTAAATATTTTTTATTAAAAAATTAAACTTTTTCTTAAAAATAAAATATTTTTAAATTTTAAAACTATTTTGAAAAATATAAGATAAAATTTCTTATAATAAATTTTAAATTTTGAAATTGCCTTGTAGTATATTTTCCCTCTGATTTCTCTTTCCAATTAAAAGAGAGCATGCACGTATTTGTTTCTCTTGTATCTTTTGGATACACATTGTGTGTATGAGCGAGTGTAACCCCCATATATATGTATCGTCATACACTTGACTTTGCTTCTCTTTGTTATTTTTTTCCTAACTTCGTGTCCATGTGAAGTGTGGATACACACGTACACTGTCGGTGAATACGTGTGTGCCTCTCTACACTTGTCATAAAGTGTGAGAAAGGGGCTTTGGGTACAATTCATCCACCTTATTCTCATACTCTCGCATACACACACACGACTCTTTGAACTTACTTCCTACTCCCAAATGGGGGATTGCAATCAAAAAGAACAACAGTGAAGTATAGGAACAAAAAAAGAGCGCATGTGAGCTGATGTCAGGCATTATCAATAACACACCACCAATACAACTACAACTCCAAAGCAACTTTGGCTTTATCACACAGACTATACGTGTGAGTAGAATTCTTGTTGTTTCGTTTTTTTGGGGGGAGTTATTGATGAAGAGCGCCGCAACGTAGAATAGATTTTGTTAAGACCAAAACACACACAAAAAAAGTAAACGAGTTCTTTGGCTTTTGGGCCACCCTTCCCTCTCCCTGGCCATCCTTTTCTCTGACAATGTCACACTGTGGAAAAACAAACGTGACGAATTTTCCTTTATTCTCAAAGTGTTGGAAGTGTGCGCTACTTGTCAAATAGTTTGGTCGTACGTACGCTCAGACGGACAGACGTACGGATGGATAAACGTTCTGCTGGCTGGCTGATTGTCGCTTTGAAGAGCTCTCATGAGAATACAGAGTATTTCGAGCTCTGCGTGAATGAGTGAGTGAGTGTGTGTGTGTGCGCCAGACCAACGATTGGAATAGTGGCGGTACACATTAGCCGCTTCAACATTGTGTATTGCTGCTTGAGTACGCTCAGCTCAAACTGTGTGCCGTGTGTGTGTTTTCATGAAGACATTTTTCAGTTTGTGTATGCGGACAAAAGAATCTCTGTTGTCAGTGTAGATTTGTACTCCGCTGCGTTCGGTACAGGGCACACGGTCGTCAATTGTTTCACTTTTCCCAAAAAACAAAAATATAAGAAAAATACTTGTGTGAAATAAGAAAATTTTTCAACTACAACAAACACAACAGTCCAACGTTCGCTTATACAAATCAGACGACAAACAACAGCAACAACAACAAATTAACCACAAACAAAAATCTTATTGAAAACTTGAGTGTCTGAAACGAAAACGAAAAACAGAAAAAAAAAATTATTTTGAAAATCTCAACAACTAACGTCAGCCAGTCAGTCGTAGGCAGACTAACACATAAAACGTTACAAGCTCACAAGGAAAATAAGAAAAAAATTTAAAAATAAAAAAATCCAATAAGAAAATTGAAATCTCAATAACTAAAGTGAAATAAGAAAATAAATTTAAAAACAAATACAAATTGTTTGAATAAAGTGCAATATTGAAAACAAAAACCGTTTATAAAACTCGAAACATACTCAAATTAATTTTAAACAACAGAATAGAATTCTGAAAATAAAAAAAAAAATATTTGGAGAACATTTGAACTAAATCACAAATTGTGTTTAATTTTATTTCTCCCCACAAACAACACCTCTCCCTATCCCCAAAACCTCAACACACAAACAATTTGAAAATTGTTTAAACCAAAATTGGATATTTACGCTATTTTTGTATTGGATACCTAAAACCAAATGTGGAACCGGCAAACTTTGTTTGGCGCAAAAAATTAATTATTAAAAAAAATTATTTATAAACAACTCGGCTGCTGGAAACCAAACAAAACATAACACAAAACACCACAACATGGTCTACAAAACGAAAAATATATAAAAAATTATTATTATTTGTTTTGGTCGTAAAATGGAATTTTATGGCCCACTTAAATATTACCGCCTTCGTCGTCAACAACCAACCACAACAACAACGCCAACATAAACAACGGCCGCAATACAATTGCCAATGACATTTCAAACTGCAAACAAAACAAACAAAAAATTAAATTAATAATTTTTTAACAAACAATAAACAATATTTAAAACAAAAAACTAATAATCCAAAATTTAAACAAAAAAACTATACAAAAAATATTTCTACTACACCCTGTGTTTCCCATGGATATTCTCTTAACTTGTTAATACAAAAAATTTGATCTAACACCAAATTACGTGAAAAAATAAACGTAACGCTCTTTTGTAACTTGTGTTGTGCTCTTGCAATGTTCTCTTAAAAACGGAAACACCAACAACCACCACCACGAAACGAACTCATTCAACCATTCATCCACACCACAACTCAAATTGTCCCCTGACACGCACACGGACAATATTGTGTGTCTTCCTCTTGGTGACTACGGTGTGACTCTTTGAATCCCAAAATATTTCAAATAATGTTGCAACAACAAAATCCACAAAAACTTTAAAACAAAATCGCTATTGCCACAAACAATTTTAATTGTTACGATTTTTTCAATTCCCACTAAATTTTTGAAAATAATCACCCTTGTATTGCGAACTGAACAACACGGTTAACGCTTCATTTGAAATCGCGTCCAAAATAACCGTAAATATTCCACCCCTCCCCCAAACCCCAACCATCCCGCTGGCGTGCGCTCTATACGACCCCCACGATGTCTCGGCAGTCGGGTCGCACGCCGCTGCCGGGGCTTGGTGGGGGCCACATCATCACGCTACTCCACATCCTTCGACAACTGCTGCCACTGCCGCCCTCAATCACCATCCACACCATCCGGCACACCATCAAACGGCAACAATTGGCACAACGGGTACGCCAACGACGACGCCACATCATCAACAACCTTATCATCCGGCTCATCACGCACATCCGCATGCGCATTTGCATTCGCTGCAACAACAACACCTGCAACATCAACAACACCTGCAACAACAACAATTGTCACATACCCAACTTAATTCGTCGACAACAACGGGTATACCATCATCGAATGCATCATCTGCCTCGTCATTGTTGGGTACGGAATCTGGACTGCAACAACAACAACCTTCACAACAACAATCCGCATCACAACAAACCAACAACACACATTCCACGCCCACACATGCGGTTATGTATGAAGATCCCCCGCCTGTTTCAATAGTTCAGCAGCAGCAACAACAACAGCAACAGTCCCATCATCTCCCGCATCCACAACAACAGCAACAATCTGCCAATCAACAGCACCAACAACAATCTCATAATAACGTTGCAACAACACCAGTTGGTGGTCTAAGTCCTTCACAAACACCTTCGGGTCCTGCCTCACATACACAGCAACATTTAACATCACCCCATCATCAGCAACAACAACAATCACAGTCAAATACATTGCCCTCCAGTGCTACATCAAGTATTCAACAACAACAGCAGCAACAACAACAACAGCAACAAAACACAGCAGTGGCGTCCGGCCAGACACAAATTGTTGCGCCGACAGCGGCGAGTGTTTCCCCATCTAGTGTTAGTTCCCAACCTCCAGGTATGTTTCGAACATGTTTGTTATGTGTAGAATTAATTGAAATTGTCCTTCGACCATTGTGGAGGGAGTATTGAGAGAATTTATTGAGAATTAAAAGGATTTATTGAGGATAAATAAGGCACGATGAAATTGTATAGAAATTTGTAAAAGTATGGAAAATAAGAAAAATCACAAAAAAAATTGTATAGATTTGGAAAAAAATAATTTTAAAATAAAGATCACTTAACTGGGTGAGAAGAACATCACAGGGACCTTATGATCTGCCAGAAATAATAATTAGGATTTTGTCAATTTTCCATTAAAAAAGGAATTAATAACAAAATCGATTGTCGAAAATAATTTTTATTTAGAATAATTACACTGGAAAAATATTTTAGCCTTAAATAAAAATAAAAAATATATAAATGGCTTTAAAAAAATTTATTGGAAAAAATGGCAATGATGTATAAACAATTCTGAAAAAATAAAGGTAAACTATTGAACTTCACTGTCCCAGAAACTTCTCAAATGATTTTAAAGTATATCAAGCAAAAATTTGAATTAAAAAAAAATAAAATATTAGCTCCCTCTATATCTTTCGTAATTATTTCGGAATTATAAGACATATTTTTCCGGAACTCCATCGTTCTAGAATGCTATATCTGGTGATTGAAAATATATTCTCGATCAAAGAAAATAATCAACAGCCGTAATAATTTTTTGGCGGGTATTCCTATTTTTAATTTTAATAATTAAAATCAGTTTTATTAAATTATTTATAAAATTCCATCTATTTTTTTTAAATTTCTTTGCAGATATGTCCCTCTCATTAGCTCCATTGCATATACCCGCGATACGGCCAGGTTTTGAGGCCGATGCAGCCAGTGCTGCCGTTAAACGGCATACTCATCCGGCATGGCCGTATGAAAGCGATGGCTTTAGCTCGGCCCAATATCATCATGCATCTCAATATTATTTAGAAAGAGATCGCAAGCCTGTATTTTATGGTTATCCAGAAACGCAATTTCAGGTAAATATATATATAACTATTAAATAAGATAAAAATATTTAAATTGAAAAAAATAATAATAATAAATAAAAAAAAATTGAAAGTAATTGCTTGGGAAAAAATATAATAATATGTAATAATATTTTTTAAATTTTCTATTTGGAAAATAGTGAGAAATTAATTAAAATATTAAAAAAAAACATTTAAATAAAAAAATTTTTTTAAAATTTTTTCACAAAAAATAATTATTAAAAATAACAAATAAAATAAATTGCAAATTGAGAAAAAATTAAAAATAAAAATTGGAAAAATATTAAAAAACTTTAATATTAAAACAAAGGAGTTACAATTTTAAAATGGGATTTTTTACATAAAAATTATTACAAATAAAAATAATATATATATATATATATATTGAAATCGATTGAAAAAAAATTTTTAATATTTTTTAATTTAAAATTGGAAAAATATATAAAAATATATTAAATATTATTAAAAAACATTAAATATATTATTAAAAATTCGTATATAAATACAAAAAATATATACTTGAAATTTGAGAAAAGAAAATTTTTTTATTAAAAATGTTTTTTACAAAAAAAATATTTATTAAAAGTATGGGATTTAGTCTGACTATTTTGCAAAACAAAATATTAAATTAAAAATATACATTGGAAATCGATAGAGCAAAAAAAATTATTTTTTTTATTTCTAATTGGAAAAAATATTTCAAAATATACTTTAAATATTAAAAATAAAATAAAAATATATATTTTTGAAATCGACTGAGAAAAAAATAAATATTTCAAAACCTATTTTAAATATTACAAAATCTTATATAAAAAATTGGAATTTCAAAATATTTTCGATGGTCTACAATAAAAATTTATACAAAAAAAAAACATAAATAAAATAAAAATTAAAATGAATAGAATAAAAATTTATTTAAAATCGATTCAAAAAAATATAATTATATAATATTAATTTCTTATACATTACTATTTGTACACTTATACATTACCTTTTTATATTGTTAGTTAGACTTATTTGCTTTCCAATTTCCATGTATCCAGGCTATAACATAACGCTAAGATTTAATTTTAAGGTGCAAGAACAAATTTTAAATATTCTTACATATAATGATTTCTTCCAAGAATTGATTTCTTATTTATTTTATTTGTTACTTCACATAATTATATACATTTCTTACAAAAACATTAATTATCTATTTTTCTTTCAATTTATTTTTTTATTTTCCAAAAATATATAGCCTTACTGGAATTATCGTGAACAGCCAACATCCGCTGCTGCGGCAGCATATATGAGCGCCAGTGATGATCGTCATGCCAGTGTAACGGCAGCAGCTGCTGCCAGACAATCGGTTGAGGGCACCTCACAGTCCAGCTATGAAACGCCAACCTATTCATCGCCAAGTGGTGGTTTACGAGCGTATCCAAGTGAAGCATACTCAAGTACAGGTAAATAAATACCACAATCGCATTTACATGCATTTTTCTGAATATACATACATATATACAAATCACTGAATATATACCAGACATCCTTAAGGCCAAAGGGAACAATATTTTGTAAACTGGGTTTGGTGAAGGTAACTTTCACTGTGTGTGTGTGCCTGCGTGCGTGCATTAATTTAAGTAATTGATTTAAAATGCAACATAAGGAGAGTACGAAGTGTTTGTTGGGGTTAGGTATTTGTAAGTTTTTGAAAAAGGAGAACTTTTGAAAGGGGGACTTTGTGAGAAGATTTGAAGTATATGCAAAATTATAAGGCCATATTCAAGTTGTGTGAATTTAATTAAAAATGCAATGGGGATTAAAAAATAATTTGAAGTCCTTCATATTGAAATATTTAGTATTCCAGTTCTTAATTAAATCCAAATGGTAACTAGCAAGAGATTAAGATTTTTTTAATTTATTACAAGTATTTAGCGTTTGGTCTATGTTGTTGGAAGTGCAATGTCATGTTTGAAATTATACATTTTTGCCTTCGTTTTGTATGTGCATTTTGATTTAGTGCATATAAAGGCAATTCTAATGTCTAGTTTTATTACAAAAATATTTAATTTAATTTCCGTTCAGTTTTATGATTAATATTTTCTTATAAAACTAAATTTAATTGCAATTGCAATTTATCGTGACTGGTAACGTTTGTACAAACTAAATGCTACTGAAGTTATTGGCAATAAAATGTGGGAAATATACATGCCGCTCATACATATCTAACAATAATCACATACAGTTTGTATGTAATTAATTTTTCAAAAATTAAAAAAATGGAATTTGTGAATATTTTTTGTTAAAAATTGAAACTTCATGATATAGTTTTTTTTTTACAATTTATTTTTAAATAGAACAAAATTGAAGCCCACAGCAACATCAGTAAAGAACTTCAAATCCCTTGCCACAAATGAACATTTGTTCCTGTTAATCTCCCAGGAATCATTTCCTATATACGAAAAATATTTGTCTTCGGAAGAGACAGTCATTTACCAAGACTTCCTTTTTTAATTTCAAAAATAATTTTTTAATTAAAAAAAACATTAAATTAAAAAAAAAATATTATTGAGTGCTTACATTTAAAAAAGGTAATTTTATACACCCCTTTCACATTTAATTTTTATTTTTAATCACATGTTATTGTGATTTTAATTTCCCAGGGATTATTACTAGGATACAACAAAAAACAGTAATAAAATAATTCGGAAGAAATATGGAATCGGTCGAAAACCTCTATATTTCTTATTTTTTCTAAAAAGATTTATTACTCTTAAATCAAAAAATAATAAAGTGGTATCAAATGAATATATCGAGATTATTAGCCTCCTTATCGTATTAAGCAGTTCAATGGGTCGGCAGTATTTGAAAAAAAGAAATCACTTGAACAACCACACCCACTTAAATGACATACAGTTTTTTCGTTCCTTTTTTTCAAAAATTCACCTGCTTTCAAATTTATAATCAAATTAAATTTTCGTATGAATTTGCATATTTATTTTTTTATTGAAACAATTTGATTGGCTAAATTATGTATATATGTCTGAGTGTGTATTTCGTTTTAATACCTCCATAACATATGTCACATTATGAATATTATAAATTCTGAAATTTCATGATTGCTGCTTGTATTTTTTGAATTCTATTCAAAAATCTAAATTTGTATAATAATGGTTTTTAAATGAGAGCTCCCCAAAAAAAAAACACAAGATTTTATTGGTCAGACATCAAAATATTTGAAAATAAAATTCAAATTTACAACACAAAGACAAACGACAGGCGGCAGTGATAATAAATAAAAAATGTGTCACTTAATTGGCTTACAGCCAATGAGAAAATATTCGGAAAATACTTTTTTTTAGATTTAAATATTTTATAAATGATTTTTTTGTATTTTTCTAGGTGGTTCAGGTGGCCTTTCTGTGGGCGCTGTCGGACCCTGTACACCCAACAATGCTTTGCATGAATGGACCGGCCAAGTGTCGGTAAGGAAAAAGCGTAAGCCCTATTCGAAATTCCAAACCCTGGAGTTGGAAAAGGAATTCTTGTACAATGCCTATGTCTCCAAGCAGAAACGTTGGGAGTTGGCCAGAAATTTAAATCTAACCGAAAGACAAGTAAGTATTTGCACAACTCGGAATGATATTTAAAGTATTGGTATTAACAAATTATTTGTGTGTGTGTATTTTCTTATAGGTAAAAATTTGGTTCCAAAATCGTCGCATGAAAAACAAAAAGAACTCCCAGCGCCAGACAAATCAACAGAACAACAACAACAGCTCCAATTCCAATCACAATCATAGTCAGGCACCACAACAACTGCACAATAATCATCATTTGGGTTTGGGTTTGAGCATGGGCCACCATGCCACCAAAATGCATCAGTGACCTTTGGATAACAGCAGTGCTGGCACCATGGGATTTCCAACATACTAACATTTAGCCAATATAAAAACCGAAACAGAAATTATGACAGAATATCAGTGAGGTAAAACTAAGAACAAGAACAAGAAAAAATGCGGTCAGAAAAACATACATACATAGAACAAAATGATAATAATAATATCCCATGAGAACTCAATGTCAGACACTGCTGCTGATGATCAAAGTAGTCTGCCAAATTGTTTCATTTCACACCATCACCACCACCCCCAACACCATTTTCAAATTATGTACATGTAAAAAAAAAACAAGAGGAATTTCAAAATTCCTATATATGTGTGATTGGGTGGGTGGGTGTGTGTGTGTAAATGAATGCATGCCTGGCAAGCATATAGAATTTAATCTAAACATAGATACTACTCGTACATACATACATACAAAACAAAATAGACAGAAAACAAAACATCATTTATATATATTTAAAAGAGAGAAAAAACAAAAAGAAACACAAACTTAAAATTTGTCTATAAAATTAAGTAGAATTCTATAAATAGTTAATACAGTTCTTTAACACAATAATTATTTTTTTGTTTTGTTTCTATGACCACCATTCATACACATACTCCCTTTACATTTTTTATAAAAATCTTAGTTTGTTTTGCCTCTCGAAAATTGAAATTAATTCAAATAATTTCAAACTATTTTTTGGGGAGGTAGAATAAAATTAAGATTTTCTTTTCAAAAAAATTCAGAAAACCATAAACATATATTTTTTTAATAGCCTAAACAGACACATAAAATTATTGATTCAGAAAATAGACAGTTTATTTTTAAAAATGAAAATATATATTTAAAATCGGGTTTTAAAATTGCCTTACCAATACAACAGTAATGTTAATATGACATTTTAGATTTCAATCAAATTCTATAAAAAAAAATGTCCAAAAATGTTAAAACCTAGTAGAATTTACATTAGTATAATTTCCGAAATATTTGAACAGTACACACAACTTTAGAATTTCAGCTGGTCTCTAGAATTCAACAAAAAATTCTGTTTGGTCCATAATTTGAAATGTCCTATAGAATAACTTCTTCAGGGGTTCTCTACAAAATTCGGATAAGGATTTTTTCAACAATTCTTTCGGTATTTAAAATATATCCTTTAGGTCGCTTTTATGTCATCTTCTCTATCGACTCTTCCATTGCGATTTCCTTAAGGAAGTCTCATCAGAATTTTTACAGAGGTCCTGAAAAAACAACCGTTTAGTCCATAAAGCGTAAAGTAAATAACCAGATTTTATGAAGACTTGAAATACCGCCTTTAGATCGCTATTATGTCTGCATTGATCCATCTATTTTCTCAAAGGGCCTCTAAAATTAAAACTTGAGTCTGCCAGTTCGTTTAGAAAATCTGTAAGTGTTCTTAAAAAACCTCAGATTGGTACAGAAAAAAATCATAGAAATGTTTTATAGACAATTTTCATTGTCACACCTTCAGGTGGTCTCTACGGAAAATCTGATACTGATTTTTTAAGTCTGCAAAAGCTACAAAAGGTCTATATATTTTATCACATGAGATCTTCTACTATTACCTCTTAAGACATATTTCAGGACTTCCTTTGGTAATATCCAAAAACAAATTTCTAGTTCACTATACAGATCTCCATTAGATCTGGCGATACTACCCGGTAATGGTCCATTATGTTGCCAAGAAAAACTCCATTTTACCAGCTTAACATGTGGTCCATTTTACCGGCTGCCTTAGGTCGTATTTGAATACTCCCCACTAGAAGTGTAGGGAGAAATTACATAGGTTAATCCATATGATATTTTATGTATATGATATTTATATCATCTATATGATATTTATTTTTTCAAAATCCAAATATTTTTGTGTAATTCATTCTGTATGAGAATCCAATGCCTTTAATATTTTTCTGCTATATTTTGAATTCATGAAAAAATTAAATATGCCGGAATGTCATATTACTATAGGCGTATTTTTTAGGGAAATTTTAAAACCCAACCATTGTTTTCCAATTTCCATTTGTAATAACCTGCCACTCTTTAAAAAAAACTATGATCTTGTATATAACACAAATTAAAACTTAAATATACAAAAAATTGTAACAAATTGTAACTCTCATAAACAACAATAACATATGCTTTAATATAGTAAATACAGAAATAAAAAATACAACAACAAAAAAAAGTAAATAAAAATGGTAAATGTCATTTAAAAATCGAAACCATATTCAAATATAAAATAAAAATATTAGTCTTTAACACAAAAAATAAATAAATAATTAATTGATGTGTGTCTGTTTAAATTATACATGGCTTAAATTAAAACAAAAATAAAACAAAAAATCCCATTAAAATAAATAAAAAAATCCCTTGACAAAAAATTTCCTACCCAATATTGAAAAGAAAAACAAAATCCCAGCATAGCATTAAATATATTTTTTATTTTCATTATATATATTTTATTTATATATAATGAGGATTAAATATATTAAAAAATAAAAAAATACAACAACAAAAACATACTTAAATCATTAGATTATATTTCTAATCATGCATAAAACTTAAACTCTACTTTATCTTAATACTAAAATCATAAAAACAAAAAAATATTAATAAAATCATAATATTTGTAATTAAAAAAACTAATTCCTAATTTTAATAATATTAGAGAAGAAAAAAAAACAAAAACTTTTTATTTTGTAATTAGAATATCTTAAAAATTAAATAAAAAACAATGTATTAATGAATTTTGTTATTGTAAATGAGTTGCTATTTTGCTTTTTTAGTTATAAATTTCCATTTTTATTTTTTATAATTTCATGTGTTATTATTCTCTTTTAATTTCCTTTTCTAGTTTTATTCTGTTTATTGTGAATTATAAAATATATTTTTATATATAATTTAAGTTCTATTAAATAATTCTCATCTCATCATTAAATAGCTGTAATTAATTAGTGAAATATAAGTTTTACGCTTATATTTATGTTGTTTATAATTTAAATTATTTTTTATAAAAGTAAAACAAACAAATATTTTAAATAAAAACACAATTTTTTATACTTAAAACAACTATGTTATTTCTTTCTATTGCCTTTTGTTTTCCTCATTGTTTTTATGTTTGCTTTTCTTTAAAAGTTTAGTAAAATTGGACAACGATATTATTTTTTCTAAAAAAATTGATTAGGTTTTTATTTTTGTATAAAAATTTAGAAAGATGTGGTTTATTTTAAGTTTTCCTCTACTCTTTATAAACAGATTTTATACATAAATAGAAAAAGTAAGAAAAAATACAACAAAAACATGTTTAAATTTTCATTAAAATATTGCTAAATAACCTAAAACTAAATAATTATATAATTTAAGTAATTCGTAAAAAAATAAAAAATAAATCCAAAAAAATTATAGTTGTAATTTTTAGTGTAACCACATCTCCATAATAATAATAATAATTGTAAGTTATTGAGATAAACATAAAACAAAATATAATTAATTACTTATTGCTATTCGTATTAGTTAATAAATAATCGATATACATAATTCTGAAATGCATATGCAGAAACAAAAGAAAGAACAATTAATAAATTAAATTACAAAAAAAAAAATCAAAAACATAAAATTTAAACAAAAAACAACAACATTATTTTTTATTTTTCGAAATTCAATGTTTTTGTTTTAAAATTTGGTGTCGTTTTTATTCCAAAAAAGGGGAGAGATAACAATTATTTAATAAAAGCAACTAAAAAAGTTTCAAGTTTTTATGAAACTAACTATTACAAAGGCTTTCCCATATTACATATTTCATTGTCTAATGTAAGACATTATTGTAATTAAAACAATTTCAACATTTTTTGTGGCATATTAAAATTGAACAATCTATTTCGTGGTATCAGACTATCAGAGTTATTTGTATAACCCCCACTAAAACATGGAAGGCAATTCCCTTTATAACATTTAGGCATTTTCGACGAAAACTTCTTGAAACATAAAATTTGTTATTAATAGGGCTTAGAAGTTTTGATCGGATATTAGTATTATTCATAAATTTCCTACAAAATTATAAATATCGACACACCCATCTTCAGTTTTTACAACATTTCCGAGCATTCCGGAGTATTTTAGCATCACTTTAAGACTTTGCGTTTGTATCACATAAAACCCCCTCACAGCGAGAGTATGAAATTTGTACAAACTCAGATATACTTCCTAGGATGTTTGTTTCAAAAGCGGAACAATAACTATCAAAATTTTGAAGGTTTAAACGATATTTTACAATCAGTACTTTGAGTTACAAAAGTATTCACATATTTTTTACTTCATATTCTATACTTGGAATAGCCCAGAATGACCTAAATTCGATATAGTAAAATTAATTGCTTATAAAACAGCATACGCAACAGAAAAGTATCTAGGAAACAATCTAGGAGGTCTCTATAATAAACACATATTCCGTAGAACCGATTGGGGGTTTTTATGTTTACTTGGAAATGGTCTTCTAGGAGGTTGTCGTCTTAAATTCATATCGGAATAATATTGTCTCAAAGATCTGTATAAATTATTACTTTAGATCGCCTATTATTACTCCTTAAATTTATTCTACGGCTTCCTTTTGATACTTAATTATAAAAACTAGTACTAAAAACATATAATAAATTAGTATTAGTTAAAAATGTTTACAGTTACGTAATAAAGTCAAATTCGCCGAATATGCCCCTACCCGGGGTAGATTAAGCATTTGATGGGGCAGATTCGGCACCATATTTACAGCCTTGTAATAATCACCATTATCAGTCTGGTTGAAATTCAGATCCTCCAAAGGTTCTATTTAGTTTTAATATGCGACTCAATGTTTTTATCGCATATTCGTCAATACACGCACTAATTATTTTTAAAGATGAACTCAAACACATTTTAAGGAAGTAATATAGCACTATCTACATATAGAAGAATGTGCCCCACTTTAAATATTTTAATTTATAGTTTCATTATTTTTTTTTTCGAAACATAGTTTAATTTCGAAGATGGGGAATATCGGTCCCCAACTTCTGGTATATCACTTACAAAATAGTCGAAATTGTGCAAA